ACAAAAAAAATAATTCAATTGAAACACATTAAGAAATAAATAAACTGAGTAAATAATAAACAAATAAAGAAAACGCGTACGCACAGATAAGCACAAGAAAAACGTAGTATCTCAAAGAGCAATGAAATAATCAATAATGAAAAAATTAAAAAGTTAACTAACAAAACTATAAAGAACCAAAACACTGCATCCGGACTCACAATAATTCACATTCAATGGCCACTAGAATAATTCGAAACAACCGTTACCACTGATCATAATAACCTTCAGAATGATACAATTGACTTACATATGATGCACCATTGACCAACATTTATAAATAGTCGAGCCAAAACACATGGCCTGTCGATTGCGTTTAAGCGTGGAACAAACTGTTGCCGGCGGCTGTTGTCCGCATTTTCTACTTTATATTTACACACGCTTCACGACTGATATTGAGCACTTTAACTCATGAATAGAGCATGTATTAAACTTATATTTGATCATATATATATATATATATATATATATATATATATATATATATATATGTATTGTGTGTATTTAGGCAGCAATCCTTCATTTATACATGTTTCATTAAAAACGAAAGACAAGGTACTACGGTTGAGCATTTTTTATGTTCGAAGAAGTGCTTTCTTTTCTGGACACAGAGTGAGTAGAGACTGTGCAAATGTTCTATAGTTCCGATCGCTTTCGGTTTTATCTTTAGCCATTATCAAGGATGATTTAATTTTTCTGCCTAATTGAGTGTGGGCATTATGTGTATGTTTTAGTGTGTTATAGAGATGTTTTTAATTTCCGAATATGGTTAGCACATTGTGGCCTTATTCGTAGTTAATATTGTTAAAAGTTGTCTTTTTTTCTTTTTTCTTATTCAAGCTTCTATTATTTTTAAACGATTTTTTTACAGATGGGTGAGGTTATTATGTTTGCTTTCGTCTAGTAGGTTTCCAATGGAGTCTGTTAAGTTCGTGTGTATGTTTAATTGGTTCTATTAGAGCTATAGTCAGATAGGTGTAACGTAAGGTGTCGGGATAGGCATGTAGTTGTGCGACCGATGCAATTATTTATGAATTCGGTTTAGTCAGGAACGCAGTTCATTAAGGGGTACTTTAATTCATAGGTAATGTTCGTTCGTTGTAATTTTGTCTTAGCTGGTTTGTTATTTTTGAGGACAAAGTTAGCTGTCTTAAGTTTTATAGTAGATAATTAATTTAATTTTTTTATTCGGTCAATTGGAGTAGTGTATTTTTTATGATATCATATCATCTTGTTTGTAGTTAACGTAGAAAAAAAATTATGTAATTTTGACTGTACGTTCACTATCGTTGTTATTTAATTTGGCGAGAAATAGTATAATTTGGTGTCTATAAGGTGGTTACAGAAGCCATTGTTAATTAGTGTCTGTTTTATATTATTGAGTTCTTGAAGTTAGAGTAGTGGAGAGAATGAATTCTAGTGTGCTCTTTTTAGGAAGGTTTTTATTACTACTATTTTGTATCGGAGTGAGCATTCACTTTTAAAGTTAAGGTGACAAGAGATAATGCTAGTGGTTTTTTTATATAATGAGGTGATAAAAGTGTTATTACTATATTCTACGAAACATCTAAGAATGGGTGTTGGTTTTTTTTTTTAACTAAGTTCGTAGTAAAGTAAAGGATAGAGTTATTCTCAAATGTGGTCCTAAATGTATCTATTTCATTTGTGCTATTTGCTAATATAAAAATATTGTCTATGTAGCGGACATATATTTTAGGTTTACAGACCTGTTTAAATATCATATATTCTACATGGGACATATAATAATTTGAAAAGCATGAAACGAGTTGATTTCCCATACCAACACCATTTGTTTGGGTCTAAATGTTACCATTATGATCATAGAATGGGACTTTGGTTTTGCATGAATATAATAATTTTTTGAGTATGTATAGTGGAGACATATAATTATTAGTGTTGTGGATTCCGGGAATTGAATCCTGCACAAATAAATAAACAACGCCAGAAATTCAGATACAAAAATAAGTGTATTAACGTAAGAATACAGATTTGAAGTGAAGATTAGTAGTACAGGAATGCGGGTTAGTAGAAAGTATATGGAAAAATCTCTGTAAGTAAAGCCGTAATCATCTCTCTCTCTCTCTCTCTCTGGACTCTTGTATAACTCTGTGAGAACACCCTGTGCATGTCTCAGTATCTCTCCACCTGTCTCTACGTATCTCAACGTATCTCAACAGCAGGTGTTCTCTCTGTCAGTATAAGTATACGTTGGACGAGTCCATCTTATGTAAAAAGGGGAGAGACCCACAGAAATTAGTATACACAGAATTGAGGATAATGTCAATGGTTTGATCGACGGGGACATCAATTCACGTTATGATAGCTGGAAGCGCTCGGAACTATAGAACATTTACACAGTTTCTACACACTCTATGTCCAAAAAAGAAAGCACTTGTTTGAACACAAGAACGATGCTTAACAGTAGTAATTTGTATGTCGTTTTTAATGAAACATGCATAAAAGGGGAAGATGGTTCATTAAATTAAACCCGTATATTAACCTGATGAACTTAAATTACGTTTATATAATGAATGAAGCGTTAATTTGAAAAAGAACGAAAAGGTTTTTTTTTTTTTAATAAAATTATATAGGTAAGCTTAAGTTTAAAAAATTCAAATTCCTACTTAAAACACGCTTAAAACACTAAAAGACAAATTATACTAGCACACAAGGTGTTAAGGAGAGTGGAAGCAAAAGTAAAGAGGAGTGATATAGGAAAAGATGAAGAGAAGGATAGGGAATAGGTCAAGGCATCTGGATATGTCGATTGACATTACATTTAAATATCTGCAGATTATAGCTTTCAGGGAAACAATAGGAAGGGAATTCCACAGACGGGAGGTGCGAGACATGAAGCTATTGGAATAGAAGAAACGGCTACATTTAACTGTTTTAACAGTGGAAGGTTGGGATTGAGATGTCAGCCTAGTTGCACGTTTAAATTCATGCAGTCTGGGAACTAGCGAAAGTAGCTCATCGGAACAGTTGCCGTGAAAATATTTGTAGAAAAGACAGAGGGAGGCGCACACATCTGTGAGAGAGCGATTGTAAAAATGTATTAACAATAAGGTATATTCATAAAATTTATATTAAAATCAAGATCATATTTTGCTAAAAATTATAATAAAAAAACTTAATATATATAGATAAATAGGTGTAAGTAATAAAGGAAAGAGACTTCTTAGAACGGGGCAATTAGAACAGATAATTAATATGGTGTAGATATTAGAATTAATTATATATTCGACATTTGAAGAGTAAGAGAAATATAGTAGCCAATAAAGTAAAATCTATATTATAGAAATTTGAATCTATTTTTATGTCGACATTTAAAATTAATTCATTCCTTTGATTCAATTGTTTGCTTTGATTATTGTATTTTATTATTTATTTTTTCTTGAAAACATAAGATACATCTATCTCTAAGACTATTAGGATTAAGTGTGGAACCTATAATCTTCCTATCTATCTGTGGGCCAGAACTTTATTCTTCAATTCACCAATTTTTTTTTTAATAGCTGTTTGGTGTTTTAATTTAGGGTTGATAAAAGAGTGCCTAACGGTATAAAATCTCTGTTTCCATTCCCTCGCGGAAATTCCAATGTAAACATTATAATTTTCCATATTTTCTTTGGGGAAAATTATTGCTTGTTATATAACCCTAGTAGACCTACATTTGCTCTCAACTGGATAAATTTGTTTATATCTAAAATTACAGGAGGGTTCAACACCAGGTTTGTTGTTTATCCCGTAGAAATTACATAAAATATAGTTATTATGAGAGTTGATAATTTTGTACATGTTATTGTTACAGGAGTAACTAATTTTAATAGTTTTTCTATTGAAGATCTTACTAAGAGGATTGTTTTTGTGAAAATGTTTATTAACTTTCGAAAATCCTGTCCGATATTAATATTTGACAGTTTGCAGAAGTGTGCGGGGAGTGAACCATATAATTTTTCTTTTTTTTATTTCTGTGTCTACATTTCACTTTAAAAATGTCAGTGTTACTTACGGGTATTAGATAAGATAACTTATTTTTAAAACCAGTTTTATGGAGAGCATTTTCAGGTAATTCATTATTTTTATTAAATATATTTATGTTGGACGATAATCGACTATTCCTAGTGCCGGCCGTGGTGGGTATCAGTCTCCCAATAGCATTGGAGTGGTTAACAGTAAGCATTAATATAGGTGGATGTTTCATTGTTTTTATGGTATGCTTTAAACTATTTATTATTGAGGTTAATGGTGATGCCTAGATAATCTACTATTTTAAGGGTCCAAGAAATTTAATTCCTATGCCTTAATAATCTAAAGGCCCTAATGATTTTCTTTTGTAACTTAGCTCTTAGTGGACCATAAGTATCAGGGATGAAATAAAATAGTTAAAAAAATGTGAAAAGTAAATTTCTAATTCTGGCACGCACTCAATCTATATACCGGGGTGGAATAAGACTGACGAATTTCCTATATGAGGTAATTTTGGTTTACTACTATTTATTTGCTCTGTATAATAAATACATTGAGGTCTTTTTGCGGAAAAAAATTTAATATTTTCTATTACTAGATTCCACTTGGATTATATACCAAGAATTTTTAACCTTTACTATATATATATATATATATATATATATATATATATATATATATATATATATGTATATATATTGAGAGAGAGAGAGTGATAGTGTTATAGATAGTTTCACAGTGGAGGCTTGTATTTCACTAAGTCGGTCCTAAAAAGGTTCGACGTACAAAACGTTAGGAACTTGATATAATAGTTAATAACGCAGCAATCTAGTTGTGGTGGCTGATACTTTAATGTCCGACATCGACTGACTGACCAGCTCACTGAGCCCACTGGCGACTGCTACTACTCCTACTTATTATAGGTGGGAGAGTCTATTAACAATAGAATAGGTGTGTTCCAGTATAACAGATAGATAGATAGATAGATAGATAGATAGATAGATAGATGTGAACAGCGTGAGATAGATAAATAGATAGATAGATAGAGAGATAGATAGATAGATCCGTAGCCCTATATAGTTATTAGCCAATATTTGACCTTTCAATCTGAAGAAAGCTTCATCGTGAATTATGTGCATTGACAATATAATATTTAAAAAAAATCATTTTATAGTGTGACCACTTTTGTCATAAGGTTATAAACATATTGATATAGTAATACATATATATGTGTGTGCGTGCTTGTGTGTACGCGTGTGCACATCTGTGTGCATTTGGGAACATATTTTCACGCCAGAGTCTGATGCCTGCATTGGCAAGGAGTATGAATTTTTAATCTATTCTCAATGAGTTGGTGCCAAACGTATGCAAAGTTCCTTGCTTCATCTCCACAACGACATTCATCATGGCGGAATATTCGTACATTGCAAATCTGATAAAGAATTCAATATTCCTGTTTTCTTTCCAATATCTCGATCCTTCTCTGTCCTTTGATGATGACTTCTCCTTTCTGCATTCCTTATCACTTGTTTCGTATTTTATTTCAACCTTTTACATTGTTAATTAGATTATAATATTTTCTCACCTCCTTTATTTTTGTTTATATCCTCATTCGTATCACATGCTTTTCAGTTACCATTTGATTTCTTCCGGTTTTCCTTCTTTCATCTTCTTCTTTTATACCATTTTCGTTCTTTTTTCTTCTCTCGGTTCTATGTCATTCCGTCTTCATTCTATCTTTCTCTCATCGTCATGGAGTTTTCTATTGAGTGTCTTTCTTTACTTCGTTATTTCTTTCTTTCTTTCTTTTTCTGTGTTATCTCGTCATCCATTTTTTCTTTTATCTTTATGCTGTGCAAATCTGTTTTTTATGCTTTTTCGTTATTCGTTTTTCGTTTATTCTTTCGTCTATTCTTCATTCTAGGCCCTTCCATCTTCTTGCTGTCGTCTTTATTTTATACGGAATTCCATCTTTCTTTCTTTATATTCTTTTTCCCTACATTCAGTCATTATCGGTTTCTTTCGATTCTCTTTCTTTCTTTTCTCTTTCCTTCCTATCTTCCTTCCTTCCTTCCTTCCTATTTTCCTTATACTATCATTATGCTACTTATCGGTTCCTTTCTATTCTATTTCTTTTTTTTTCTTTCCTTCCTTCCTTCTTTCCTTCTTTCTTTACTTATACCGTCATTATACTTCCTATAGATGTCTTTCTTTTCTCTGTTTTTATTACTGTCTTTCTTTCCTCTTTCTTTTTTTCTAATGTCATTATAATTCCTATACGTTTCTTTCTTTTCTCTGTTTTTATTCTGATTTTTCTTTCTTTCTTTCTTTCTTTCTTTCTTTCTTTCTTTCTTTCTTTCTTTCTGCTGTCATTATGCTTCCTATAGGTTATTTTCTTTTCTCTGTTTTTATTCCTGTCTTTCTTTCTTTCTTTCTTTCTTTCTTTCTTTCTTTCTTTATGCTTCCTATAGGTTTCTTTCTTTTTTCTGTTTGTATTCCTGTCATTCATTCTCTCTTTCTTTTCTTCCTTCCTTATACTGCCATTATGCTTTTGCGGTCTCTCTCTCTCTCTCTCTCTCTCTCTCTCTCTCTCTCTCTCTCTCTCTCTTTTGCTTTCTCATTCTATCACCCGGTCATTATGCTTTTTACTGGTTTCTTTCATTCTTTTATGTCATTCATCCTTTCCTCTTTATTTCTTTTGTTTTCTTTCTTCCTATACGAATGCCCTTTTTAACAATTTCTTTTTACCTTTCATAACTTACAATCTCTCTTTTCCTTTGCTCGCAGCGCCTCTTTTTTTCTAATTTTTTTTTCTCTCTTTACTTTTATTCATTTATATAATTTATCTTCGTATCCGCTTTCATTCTTTCTTTTTATTTTCATTCTTTTTGTTTTATTTACCTTTCTTTTCTCTAATTTTTTTTTTAGATTTGTTCTTACGTGTCTTACTTTTCCTTTCGTTTTTACTTTTATCTACATTTCCTTTCCTTCCTTGTTTCTTATTAGATTTTGTAAAACCGAATAATTCATTCATTTCCGCTTTTTATTTTACTTCTCTTTTGTCGTTTTTGCTTCTATTTAATTTAACTCAGTACATAGGAACGGCCATTTTGTCAGAGATATATGCGTGCCCAGCGAAAACGCAAATTCGATCATTCTTATTTTTTTTTCTATCAACTAGCAAAGCCATTAACCAATAGAAACCTGAACTGTTCAGTTTGAACTAGGCTTTCAATTCTCCACGTCGCCACTTCAGCACGCCATTGCTTGTTATTATTTAGTTTTTGTTTTTTTCTGTTTTGGGGTTTTTTTAAGGGAGAGAAATATTCACACCTTGCAGGTTTTCTGCTTTACAAGCACGCAATCGCAGTGACGAGATAGCATTCTAAGGAGTCACTCGAGATTCGACAAGCCTTCACAATTGCTGCACCGATACATCGAGATTTATATGAACATATTTGCATCACTAAAAGTGGCTTAGTGGTTAGATTGAGAGCGTTCCGATAATGAGAATCATGTCTGAATTGAAACAAATTTTTATTTGTCAACGATTTGAATTCCTGATAATTTCGGCCTAATCCTAGAACACTAACCATGTGTATAATATACCCAGCTCAAATTTTGCTATTTTTAATTACAATTTTCAGTACATGATTTTCTTACCTAAATAATATGTTTTTCAGTTCCCGTTAACGTTACCTCAAAGTACAAAATTTGAAGTGCCGGCATGTAAAATATTTCAAATAAAGATTTATATTTAATATTTTTTTTTTTTATATTTTCAAAACGGGTTATGATATACCCATGCTTAGTAGTGGTGTAAGTTTAATTGATCGTTAGTGTTCTAGGATTAAGGAGATGAATACAGCAATGATTAGAAACAAAAGCATACCATGAATCCAACCAATTGTTTTGATTAAAAATTGTTAGCAAAGCGTCCACGGTTGTCCTAGTATAAAGTACACAAGTCATTGTGACCGATTGTCAGAGTATACTGGCTTTCTTCAAATAATGATTGTAATGAAAACAGGACAAGAGATTCTGTCTAGTAATCGTTTATTCAATTAAGAATGCTACTACTAGTCTACATAACAAACGGAAATGTATAGCTTTTATAGTTGGATTATCAAGTGGGAGATAATCCATATTCACAACAATGATCACGTTGTATTATGCGTTCTCTCGCAGAAACTGTTTATAATAACTGTTGGTAATAAACTGTTGGTAATAACGGCGTTGTAAACGTCAGATTTGAACTATAGATGTTAAAAAAAATACGCCTAAACAAGGCAGTCGCATCAAGGATTATCTAACAACCCTAGTAGACGGCCATGACTGGAAAAAAAGAAACCAGCAATTATCATATTTCTTCCCTATCTAAAATTTAGTCGTAGTGCATTTATTATGAACTAATCTCGCAGACCATTAACGTTGCAATGGCTTCGTTCTTCACAGTTTGTTTAACACTGTTCAAATGTCCGTGAATCTTTAGTGTCAACCAATTAACAATGTAAATTTAGGGACCGTTATAACTGAAATGAAGGTCATGCATTTGTCGTTTTGCGACAAGTTACTTCAAGCTTCATAATAAGATAATGCAGCAGATCATTTAGAAATATAAAATCTCCAAATACACTCCCCCACAAAATATTGTAAAATGAAGCTGAAATTGGAATAACACCCGAGGAAAGACAAGCTGTAGAATCGAAAACTCTCAAGACATAATTAAGGCTAGTGAAACCAATGGAATCAATAAGTACCTACTTAAAAATAGAGAGGATGTTTTTGAGAGTGATTGTCGCCAAAGTTCTGAAAAATATTACAATGGAAGGAAGAAAAAAAGATTCGAGGAAAAGTCTAAAATTTCGTAATTGTTATCAATTTGTTTGTTGTTTTCCTAACTGAATAAATGAACATTTTTTTAATTTCTGATATTCTTCTAAATCAAAAAGTGGCACTTCTAAGGTTCATAATAAAGAAAAAGGGCCTGAGAAATTTGACACTAACAGGCGATTTTGAATAGCTGCCAGTATAAGAGGAGTACTATATGGGATAGCTGCCAGTCGAAAAGTAGCATTATGTTGCATAGCTGCCAGTTAAAGAGGATTAATATGTTGGATAGCTGCCAGTCTAAGAGGAGTACTATTTTAGATAGCAGCCACTCTAAGAGGAGTAATATTTTGGATAGCTGGTCTATAATCTCCGACGCCCTGAAATGGTATAGCATTAAAATGTCACTAAAGTGATACTTAGCTATTTTAATGGTTATCGGTTCTGTAATATCGGCTAGCTGAGTTCAAATTCTCTTTTATTCTGTTGCGTTTATTTTGGCTTCAGGGAAATTATAAATCAATTAATTCTCCTCCACCAGCAGTCACGAGGTTACACAGCAAAATAGATTAGGCTCGTTCACCTTTCATGAGAAGCCCCAACCTCCACCCCACAAGCAAGGCAATAAAGCTACTAAAACGCATGGGGCTACTGAGTGTGAGACAATATGAAAAAAAAAAGAAAGAAAAGTATATTAAGGAGAGAGAAACTAAAAGAACAGGAATTAATGAGGTGAAATATAACGTCTGAAGAAAGATAACGAGACAAGGAAACAGGAATATATTTTTCTTTTCTTTTTTTAAGCAATTTACCCCTGGCAAGGCGATAAAGCCACTAAGACGCATTTGGCTAATGCGAGTGAATGAGAATGAAAAAAACCTTTCGAAGGGTCCGCAAACAAAATCCTAAAGAGGAAACAAAGGACAAAACCCTAGACCTGTTCCAATGACCGAGATGAGTGTGAACCAGACAACATTGTTTCCGCCAATTTGCAAATAATAAAGAAAAAAGAATCTTTTGCAAGCCATGAAAAGTAACATCTTCAAAATCGTTTGTATTTTTTAAGAACATTCTTTCTCAGTAACAATGATTCGGATTTTGCTTGTTGCGAAGGAATCCTTTTCGGCATTTTCCTAATAAGTAAATATTCGTTATATCGAATTACCTGACACCAGTAGATATTTGTTTAAAAGACAGTAAAGGCATCCCTTTTCAACCCGGAGCTATTTTGGTACACCGGCTGATATTCTTCTAAAAGCGTTATATTCTAAGTATTCTATTCGATCCGTTGTGAGAGCAGACTTGACACTAGCAGTTGCTACATCACGTTGCAGGTGTGCTCGGCGCGAAAAAACGGTTCCCTGAGAGCCAGCATTTTTAGCATTGCCGTTTACTAGATTGATATTCCTTCATAATTCTTTATAGAAAAAAAAAGGTCAAATTTATTATATGAACTCTCCCGACAGGCCAACACACATTGCATCTTGTTATCATTTTCCTTTTTCTTTTTAAAATCCCTAATTTGATCTCGGATTTTACACATCCTTATTTTTTGTATGCCACTCTGATTTATTCAATATTTATATATTCTCAGGGGAATAATGGGGTGCGTATTTTTTGTTTTTTGAGGATATATGCAAGAATTTTGAAAAAAAAAACAACAGAAAAACTTCAAAGCTTTATTTAAATCGGTGCAAAAAATCTGGAGAATCCTTTCCGCACACCTCGTCAATAAATGCACCGATAGCAGCAATGGCTGCATTGATATGGAGCCAATAGCGTTGACATGCCTGAATCAAACTATCTTTGTCCTTATTTTATGTTGTTATGCGAGCGTTAAATGACTTCTATCACGACTTCAGCCCATACATAGCAGTTCAGTTGTTTCACGTCTTGTAGCGTGAGAGGCTGAACTGTTACGTGATATCTATACAGCAATAAATTCATGACAATCTCCTCAAAGATGAAGAAGAGAATTGAAGCACCAGAAACGTGGTTCTACAGAAAGATGTCGAGGATATCATGGACCGAATATGTGAGTACTGTGGCCTTTTTAGGGCCAGAAATAAAGACACAAGTAACAGTAACAGAAATACAAACATATACAAAAGAGAAAGTTACAGCAAGAATGTTCGGTCCGACTGTCAGGGCTGACTGCTAGAGACTTCTCGATATTTATTTCTGTTAAAATGCAGAAAAGGTGGCTCAAGGCCAAATGGAGGATGGAAAAAAGGACGGTCTTCATTTGTATTAACTTTAAACTTAGTTAGCCCCAAACACTGACACAAACATAAAAAACAATTTTCCTAACATGACAGCAATGCATTCTTACTTATCTTTCTTACTACATCCACCATCATATTTCATCCTTTGTCTGTATGGGGAGGGGAATTAAACAACAATTTAAAAATTCCCCAATGAGTATGTACAATATGAATACAATCTATTGGAGACTTCCCTCTCCAAAAGGCAGTACCTGCTCCTATTTATAACTGGGAGAGTCCATGCATGCGTGGATAAATTGCCATAACAATGAGCAACGTCGAGGTTTTAGAGTAAATGGAAACAAAAAGGAAACTTACACTTTACATCAGGCAGAAAAAATTAAATGTCTGTGGCACGTAATGAGGAAGGAAGTTTTGGATATTCTGATACTCACAGGTTAGACTGAGGGAAAGAGAGGCATATCATACTTGATGAGCTTGGGTAAATGGATGGTAGAACAGGATTTAGGAGAGATAGCAAAAAGATAAAAGTTATTAAGAGCTACAAGGTATAGGAAGACGTGAAGGGGCACGATCACCTACGTCCTGACAGGACACGGTAGATAAAGAAGAAGAAGAAAAGTTAGTCCATAATGCAGTTTTTTGGATATATTTATATACTAGTGAGCTAGCCAAAATGATCTGACTCATTTTATAGCTCACCAATAGAATGGTTAACCAATCAGAAAGCTCAAAATATTCAATGCGACGTGTATAAAGGCAGACATTTTGTTTTTCTCCCCAAAATTATCCTCACTGCCAACCTGATATCGAAGACTTAAAGACTTACTTAATAGCCGCTACTTTCTCTGAATCTTCACTGCCGACCTCTGATATTGAACAGATTACGGATTCACTGGATTCCATATTCAGAGACTACGGCAAACATGGTCAATAGTCCATAGGCTTGGGAGAAC